CATAAGATGCAGGGTGAAAAGCTCTACAATCTAGAAATTAAAGTCTATTTTAATTGTGTATATTTTGTTTACAAAAGAAGCAAAATTTTGTGCAACCAATTTTCGCCATGGCGAAAAAAATCGCTGTTTTTTACACGAACGAGAATTCCTTTTCTTATTTTATCTTTTTATCACCTAATATAGTTCCTTTAAAAAAATCAAAATGTATTGCAAGATGCAGCGTCAATAGCTCTACAAGTTACAAAGAACAATTTATCTTATTTGAGTCATTTTTAAGTTGAAAATAACTCCAAACTCTATATGATCGGTTTTCGCAACGACGAAAATCCATCACACAGAGTTTTGCTTCTTTTTGAAAACAAAAAGTATACAATTAAAATAAAGTTTAGTTAGTAGATTGCAGAGCTTTTCATCTTGCATCTTATGGTATATTTTGTTTTTTTAATAAAATCAATTTAGAGATTACAAAATGAAATACAAAGTGCGGCTGTTTATTATTAGTGACATATTTATATTTTACAGCCGTTTGCATGTCTTTAGTTTTCGTCTTTTTCAAATATATCTAAGACAGATTTTGGGCCAACTCATATATGATTTTGTAGAGAATTTCAAGCACTATCTTTTGATAATAAAGAGAGCTTTAATTACAGAGATAATAGAGAAGAAATCTTAAAAATACTGAGAGGCCCATTCTTTCTGGGACACCCGATAACATAAAAGAAATAGTGAATTCATTGTTGAAAAAACGTCATGCAAACAAACTGCTACTTATAACATGCCCATCAATAGGTAAAGTCACTAATGAATTTAATAAAGACTATCCGAAGTTGCTTGTATATTTAGAAAAAATCCCTAACTATCAAGAAGAAAGTTTTTGTTTGGAGAACATTATGAAATTAAAAATACTATGCATTGTATTCAATGGATAAAACAAAAAGTGAGTAGCAATAACTAAAGTACCAAGAATATTCCTTCTATTAAAATATAAATTTTCTTTTGCGTTTTTATTTTATGGTTGTTATTGATTCTCGTTATCACTGTTATCGTCTTTGTCGTGTTGAGTTTCGAATGTGGAACGAGGCATATTTCTGATAACAGAACATTACTGTTACAGTACAACTCTATTTAACATGTACATCCATCATTCTATTCATTTTCCTATTTGAAGGATGTATGTGTCTGTGTATCTTTTCTTAACGCATAATTTGAAACAATATTGGGCCACAATTCATGTTTTTAAAAGTCTCTACATCAAATTGGAATCAAAGGATCTCGCGCCATATCATATGATGAATATCAAGATAAACTTAACATATGAGTTTTCTCGATTAAAGCTCTGTATAACCAGTCAAAAGTTTCGAATAGTTGATGAAAGAAGATTGTTAAAAATGTCATTTACTCAATAAAAACGAACACGTTCCAAGAAGTTTTGGATTACCCTATCTATTAGAAGCAAGCATGTACAGAAATTTTCATAAAGCTTTGCATATGATAATAGCATGTTGTTTGTACTTTGTTTATCTCATGGTATAATACGTTTAGTCTATTTTTTTTAAACTTGACATATGATTTAAAGTGAAAAAATTATATAACGTCGCTTTATTTTACAATAGCATTAGCTACAGTTTTTTTTCTGTAAGAATAGACCTACACATATCCGACTAACACAAACAATGCATCAACCGAATTAAGTTAGTCTGTTCTTTATTTCACGAAAGATTAAAGGTCATGTAGCAAATCGGCAGCCAACTACAAACAAAAGTGAACAAGGAGAGATTCATGAAGTTCGAAAACACAATCTAATGTCTTTCATGTATAACTCGTTCGTAGAAATGTAGATCCTAATATTTTCTAAATTATATTAATCACAGAAACATTTTCTTTTTTCTTTCACTTTTTTTCTGGAGAATAATAATGGCTTATACGTGCAGCGTTCAAAGAACGCACCCACATTCTTGAATTTTCCTATTTTGATCAGAATAATAATATTCAGTGAAAAGACAAATCAAACTTTTATTTTTTCTTTCATCGTGGATGCAGGTGTAGAGCAACTATTCCGTGATAGTATGAATGAAACAATTTTTAGAGAAAAGAATATCAGATTTGAAGAAGCTCTTGTTAAGATTAATAGCAAAAAAGATCAATGTTTTCAATGTTTTATGACTTATACAACATTTAATGAACTACAACTTTTGGTTAAAAAAACAACAATATCAATTGGAACAGAAGAAGACTTTGAAATATGTACGAGCTGTATCAAAATGTTTATCATTTACTAATTTAATTGTTGTTTTCATTATATGTCATCGATTCAAGTTAATTATTTTCATCACATTTGTTACTTTATTACAACTGTTTGGATTGATTTATGTCATAATGGAACACATATGTTATATCTTCATTCTTCAGTTTTAATCATATGTATATTTGTATGGGTCACGTTAGTCTATATTATAGTGACCAGTTTTCTAAAGTTTTACCGGAGACAAGTACAAGCGCACATGAACGAGAATATACATTTTTAGGGTTGTTTCACTGTGTTACTGTTATTATGTTTCCATCATCACATCAAATAAAAAGAGAAGATTAAAAATGCCATATAATGTGTTTTTCACATCTTTATGCATTGAAAGAAATGACATCTTTTTTGCATTTCTGCAGAATTCAGTAAATCGATGATGAATATATGTATTTGAAAATAGATACAGTAGCTTAATCACTGATGCTTAGCAACTTCGTATTTTAATCCAACTCAAGCTTCTTTTTAAATATTTTAGATAATTTATTATTATGTCGGCTTACTCTAATGCAGCAATGACACCGAGTTCAAATACACTTCATTTTGATGAAATAAGTAATTATTTAAAATTAAAAAGATGAAATTTCTTTATTGTAATTTCAGATGAGAAAATGAAAGAAAAATGTTTTAATAAAATGGCAATGAATAGATATATTTAATGTTTGTTTATTTGTAGCAACCAAAACCTCTTGATTATTTAATAAATTGAAATTATCGTACTTACAATATTATTCATATGTTTTATCTTAATTATTATTTATTATCAAATGTTTTCGGTTTTTTATCCCATGATGATCAATATTTATTCTAAACATGAATATTTTAAGGAACAATTAAAAAATGAAAAAGAAAATTTCAATAGATATAAACAAAAATTACTGAATCCATTACATAATGGAAACAGGACTAATGGATATTGTATACAATGTTGGTCTTTGGTGTTGAATTTAGATCATAATTATATAATAAATCATGTTTTGGAAAATAATCGACACATAAAAGAATCTTACAATGACCCTCTATATCGGTAGGTTATCATTTACCACAAATCGCTATCCCCAGATTCATCCCTAAATCGTATCCACATTTGTGGATAATTAAGGAATTATGATTAATTCTGGTCACCAGTTAGGGATTTTGATTTAGGGATTTTTTAATTTGGGGATCTTTTTTGACATGAAATGTATGATACATTTTGTTGTTTCGTTTGAATTGACTAAACACAATGAAAACAGTTTTATGATGAATCTGGTGACCAGAATATATCTTAGGTGCCTACGATGAACAGTTCTGAGGTGAATCTGGTGACCAGAATGTATTTTTATATTGCCAAAAAGAAGACTTTGTAGTAACCTAAGATACATTCTGGTCACCAGATGCATCGTAAAACTGTTTTCATTGTGTTTAGTTAATTCAAACCAGACACCAAAATGTATCATACATTTCATGTCAAAAAAAATCCCCAAATTAAAAAATCCCTAAATCAAAATCCCTAACTGGTGACCAGAATTAATCATAATTCCTTAATTATCCACAAATGTGGATACGATTTAGGGATGAATCTGGGGATCGCGATTTGTGGTAAATGATAGACATTCTCTATATCCATTGCAATATCTATTAATTCTAATGTCTTTTTTCAACACAATATGTATCATGATTACTTTTAAAGAACCAATTAAACTATTTTTAAAATCAAACTTATGCACAATTATATGCTTATGTATATACGGAGAATTTTTTATTGAAGATAGACCAAATGTTTATTATATATTAATCACTGGTGCTGGTTTAGTTTTAGTTTCTTTTTATTTATTAATCAAAATACTTCGAACATTGTACGATATCATTGTTTATCAAAGAATGAAAATCATTTCAACAATTGAATGATAAATTCATAATTGCATGAGACATATTCATTAAGATAAAATAACAATAGACTAACATATTAAAACTGTCTGATTTGATTTTTTTTTCATTTCTTAAGAAACAAATATTTTCTACTTTGTTATTATGTGCATTCGAATATTAAATTCTCAAAATAAACAATACAAAATATGTTTTGAATAGTTTGGTGGAAACTTATTATCAGTAAATGCTAAAAAGGCTTTAAACTTTGAATACTGCTCAGGTCAAGTTTAAATAAGTAAGAGAAAAGAAAGAACACGCACTCACTTCGTTGCATTCATCTCTGTAATGATAACAAATATCCATTGATTAGAGGACTTTGATGTTATCGTCATGCATTCTTTTTTTATTTCTCTTGGAAAGATATAAAAGTGCAAGGTAACATAAACCATGCGAATATACTAATTGTCCTTACTAACTATATTAACAAAAAAGCAAAGAAAAAGATGCATCATATCGGTATCTGATAACGATAGAAAGCAACAAAAAAAATAGAGGTTGTTTCAGTTTGTTGAAACAACAACAACAACAACACAAATCTTTGAAGGTAAAAAAACTACTATACAAAACAGTAAACAATGTCATATCCATTTCTTCGTATATTATTTTCGAGCATGAAATTGTTTATTTCATTTTCTAGATAAACATAATGCGCATCAATTCCAAATCATCAGATTTTCTCGGCAACAGTTTGGAGAAAAATGGAATACCAGTACAAAAAGCAATAAGAGAACTTTGAAAAATTAAACCATTTGTATTTTAGATCAGTGTTTTCTCATCAACGTCGTCAAATATGGAATCATCAACTACAAATAGCTGTCAATTTGATAATACTAAAGCTGACGTATGATTAAATAGAATAAATTATTCGAGAATCAATCAATTTCTATTTTTTTTTAGACGAATATTATTCAAAAAATGTTCAGAAATATTTTGCCAAAAAAGTTCAGAAATGGAAGATCAAGTCATTATTATGAGAATGGCTTTAATGATAATGAAATTTTGGTAGCACCAAGCAAAAACGGTCTTCATAAAAATTTGAAGGAGCGACATATGATTATGATTGCATTAGGTGGAACTATTGGAACTGGTTTATTTTTAGCTTCTGGTCAAGCTTTAGCATCTGCAGGTCCTGGTGGCTCTCTCGTTTCTTATCTAATTATTTCGGTTATGGTTTATTTTGTCATGACAAGTTTAGGTGAAATATATTTTCTCTTTTTTTATACCTTTGAAAGACCAAAAACAGATCATCTTGTGCCGCTTTCATAATGAAATTAATCATAACTATTATTTCATGTTTTTTTAGGCATTAATGACATTTTCGATTAATGAAAATATTTAAAAAAAAACATTATAGGGATATAGATCATCGTTGAGAAGATCACCAATAAAATAAATAACTTTTATAAAACTAAGTATATTGAGTTTTTATTTATTTATCGAGTCTTGCATTGAAAACAAGTGAAACGTTAAATACTACAGTAATTGTCATTGACTGAGTCAAACAAAATATAAAGATATGTTACGGTCAAAATTGGAATTCTAATTTTGTCCGAATGAAATTAGAATTGTGCTAGAAATAATTTGATACATTTCCATAGGAAGAAAAAAAATGTCAAGAAAGATAGCTAACCAAAGTAGAACAAAATAAATGTGTAGAATATTCTAGAGATGTCTAGTCGTGTCATCCAACAATATATATATAGATTTGTGTGAATTACAGTATCAAGAAACGCAATTGTTAACTTCAAAAAGGACAACTGTGTATATAAATAATAGTCAGAAGCTTTTTTTTTCAGGAAGAATTAGATAAATATATAATTGCTTGAGTAAAAAAGGACACGGTTAAATTTGCTTGCAAAATTAGCTTTATTTGGAAGCTCAAAAAAAACATTACTCATCATATATAATTTCAAAGATAATAAGTTGCACTTTTTCAAGATACCATTTTATTCTTATCTACAGTGAATCGTCACACTAATGCAACGATATACACAATCGAAAGGCCTCCGCTATTGTATTGCATAGTATAGTAAGATTGTTTCCTAACGAATAGATTGACTATCCGCTATTCTGAGGAAAAACATCGTCATATATTGTCCCATTCAATAGTCAATCCTTCTTCGTCGTGTATATAAATGAATGATTTTCGAGAAATCCCCTGTTAGTGTGGGCTAAGTGATGTTTCGAAAGAGTGGGAGCTAATTATCTTTGAAATTGTATATGATGAGTAGCACTTTCTTTTAATTTTCAAATGAACCAATTTTACTATCAAATCCACCTGTGCTCTTTCGAAAGAAAAGCGTCATTAAAGACAATGTTTATGACGATATCTTTCAATGTTTGCCATTACCGACAGGTAAACCGTCTGGCATGAATTTATCAGAATTTATTTATATTGGGTGAAACAAAATTTCGTTTTTATGAAATTCAATGACTTTTTATCCACCATCTCTTTCTTCTTTCCTCTTTGCAATGTTTTCTTCCGCGAATAAATGAAAGAACAAACGGTAAACTCCCTCAAATCAGGTATAATTCTAAACCACGACCTTGTAAAAATATGAGTGAATAGGTTAAAATAATATGAGCTGTAACTTGTTTGACACCAACGATACTGTCTGAAATAAAAAAGAAACTCTTTATTTGTTCAAACTCTAACTTTTTTAACTTGATTAATTTACTTTTAGTCCATTTTGAATTTCGTCCAAACAAATTCAAAATTTGACCGAAATTCCAATTTTGACCGTAACAGATACATTGAGTAAGATTCATATAGAAAAAAGAATATTTTATGTTTAAAAATTCTGAAACTAAGTTAAGCGGAGAAATATTTCGAAGCACGGTTTAGATCTAAAGACATATTATTTGATATAAACAAGACTCGAAATCATACTTAAATTGTGTAGTGTTAGTGATTTAACTTGCATTTTCTTTCTCTTACTGTCACACAACAAAAAGAAACATTGAATATCTTTATCTTCTCACCTACGTATCACACCATACCAAGCATGTATCAAACAGAGAAGAGAATGTGACACATATCAAAGAAAAAAACAAATACCTTTTTTTTATCTATTTTATGACGAAAGCATTTTATCATGTTCTACACAATCAATATGCGTATATCACCTTAAGAAAGTTCCATTCGATATTTTCAGTTATTTCGAAATTAATTTATTCTTAATTATATTATAGTTAATCTCAATGAATAATAACTTGTTTTGAACTACATAGTAATATTTATGTATTTTGATCACTTTTGAATGAGAAGAAGAGAATAAGTTATTTATAAAAATCTTACGGTTAGCGATAATTATCAATGCATTAACATTTGTTACAGCTGAACTTGCGACTCAATTTCCCATTAGCGGTTCTTTCAATACATTTGGTAGTCGTTTCGTGGATGAAGCATTCGGCTTTGCATTAGCCTACAATTATTACTTTTCGTGGGTGACAACTATCGCAGGAGAGTTGGTGGCTGCTGGTATCATCGTACAATTTTGGCTGCCGCATTTTCCCAGTATTATATGGTCAATATTAGGAATGGCAATTATGTTTTTACTGAATGCTTTTACAGTTAAAGGTTACGGCGAGGCTGAGTATTGGTTTGCAATGATCAAAGTAGTTACTGTGCTTATCTTCCTGTTGGTTGGTGTTTTAGTGGATAGTGGTGCCATAGGTAAACCTAAAAAAACGTATGGCTTCGAAAATTGGAAATTGGACAAAGCCCCCTTTGTCGGTGGAGTAGCTGGTGTAATAACCACGTCGATCATTTCAGGTTTCGCTTTTCAAGTAAGAATGCTTTTTCATAATAGTACACAACTCGATAATTAGATTTAGGTGTTATTTCAAATGTTATATTTCTTATGTCACTTTCACCTTCATACTCAGTCTCTTTTTAGTGACTTGAATTGCTCAGTAGTCGGTTCTGAAGTGTACCAGAGTTGACATCGACTTCATGGACAGTTTTTAAACTCTCAGAACTACTGCAGAACTTAATATCTTCAAAACAAAAATTACATTCATAAAACTTTGAAATGATACCACAATGGTTTTCGATTACGGATCCTAAGAGCTTTCTAAGCCAAAATCCAATTTCTTAGGCTTACTCATTTTAAATGACGGAAGATTGAAGCTTTTAGAATAGATACTAGTCAATGATACAAATATTTCATAAAGCGAAAACTTTTTTCTCCTTAGTTTACTTTACATTCAAACTATGAAAATCTTTCTCCTCAAAAACACTTCCATACTCTACGGCCGGCTTTGACTATAGGATTTTCAGAATACGTGTATTATTGATAAATGAATCTTATTGAACGTTAGAGAAATTGAGCTACCAAAAGATCGAAAAATTTTCAATGTAAAGCAAGCGGCAGAGAAAAATGTTTTCGTTTTATAAAATGTTTGTATCATTCACTAGGTAGTATCTATTCTAAAATCTTCAATCTACCATCATTTAAAATGAATAACCCAAGAAATCGAATATTGGCTGGGGAAGTTCTAAGGATCAATGATCAAAAACCATTGTGACATCATCTCAAAAATTTATGAACATGATTTTTGTTTTGAAGATATCAAGTTCTGCAGTAGTTCTGACAGTTTAAAAATTTGCGCATTAGGTGGTTATAATCGTGGTATTGCTTCCCAAAGAATTTATCCTACTTTCATTGACATTTTTATTTATGTAGAATAGTTTATAATTGAATGAATAATCTAATAGTGTTAAACAATATTCTGATTATATATGTATGCAAATTTGAAAGATGAAATATATTTATAAAAGTTTTCTTTATGATTATATAGGGAACTGAAGCTGTAGGTATCGCTGCTGGTGAAAGTGCTAATCCAAAGCGTGATGTGCCTCGTGCAATGAATGGAACTATATGGCGTATTGTTTTGTTCTTTGTTGGTGCCATCTTTGTCATGGGTCTGGTTATCCCGTATAATGATCCAGATCTTGCTAAAATAGGTGGTGTTGATAATATTGCTGTGTCACCGTTCACATTGGTATTTAGAAAATCTGGTATTCCTGGAGCAGAGCACATTATGAATGCTGTCATTCTAACAACGATATTGTCAGCTGGTAACTCTGGTCTTTACTTATGTACACGTATTTTCTGGACATTGGCTATGGAAGGTAAAGCACCTCGTATTTTTCGTCATATAAATAAAGGTGGAATTCCTATTTGGTGTCTGGTGTTAACAACTGTTCTCGCAACTTCTCTTTTTGGTCTCTCATTCGTTGGAAATCAAGTCATTTATATATGGCTTGTCAATATGACCAGTGTGATGGGTTTTATTGCCTGGTTGGGGATTGCGATATCACATTGGCGATTTCGTCGAGCATATATTCTACAAGGTTATTCATTGAATGATCTTATTTATAAAGCGCTATTCTTTCCAGTGGGACCATTCTTGGCCTCCTTACTTATCATTGTGTGTGTCTTCGGACAAGGGTATTCTGCATTTACTACAAAACAGGTCAACTGTACTATGTTAGAAGAAGAATCTTCTGACTTTAATACATATCAACTCAACGATAATATATTCGAACAAGGAAATGCTACATGTACTAAGAGTTCAGTCAACTTGTCTACTTTACTATCTGGCTATGTAATATTACCGGTGTTTGTGATCATGTTTGTTGTTTACAAAATTGTTAAAAAGACACGATTTATACCACTTCGAGAAATTGACCTGATAACTGACAGTGTAAATCAACATGCACCGAGAGAAACGAGTAATATTTAATATTGATTTATAATAAAGAATACGATGATTTTAATATTTGATAATACTAACGAATGCAATATGTTATGAAGAAAAGAATAGAGTATATTTTAGGTACATCATTTGAGTTGTTTGATAAAACGAAGTTAGATAATAAAAGAGAGATTGTTTTGAAAATATTGATAGAACCTACAGAACCACACACTTAGTCAGGCAAGAATCTCCCAATTCCAGCCGTGTTCTTCATCCAAATCACATCGAAACATACAGTTTCACGCGATCAACTTTTCAAAATTTCATCTAGACAAGATAAAATCTCACTCACAGTCCTTCGATCCATTGATTGAATCTCAAGAACAGTCAAATTTTGTATTTGTTGATTGAATGTAACAGGTGACCCGTAAAGAATGGAATATCTTTATTTTTTTTTTTTTGAAGACGAAAAACGCAGTTCAAAGATTCCATTGCAAGCTCATTCGATAAAGAATTTTTCGCTCTACAAACTGTTAAGATGGGGTGTGGGTGTGGGTGTGCTTCGATATTGTGGAAGAGAGGATCAAGACTCTTTTTTAAAGTCTATTTTAAGAGTAAAGAAAAATGTCATATATACAGTTTTGTAGAGCAAGTCAAGCTCTATCCATTGATATATGAGTCTACTTAAACAGTAAAAAAATTTCAAGAAAAAAATTCATAAAGAATGATAGGAAAATTTTAGAAATTTTGAGGCAGTTTTTGGAGTATGCTGGGGGGTGTCTCAGGTCGGTCTACCCTAGTCGACTAGAAATCAATTTTTAGGCCATAATATTTTGGATTCTTCTATGGTATACCAAGGTCAAACTTCCTACGGGGTCAGATTCAAAATATCTGTCTCACCATGTTTTTTCAATATCTCAAAGTCTTCGGTTTTTCCATGGAGCACGTCTTAACTGAGTACAACGTTATAAATTTGATAAAAATGGTAGACGTTATCTCAGAAGTTTGTACAAATGCGTGAATGTAGACAAATTTTATGCATTTAAATACGTTCTGATTCCCTAACGCAATTACAAGTGTTACACTATTGCATAAAGTGAAAAGTAACGAGTTATTTTTGAGCATAATAAAACACGTATATCTCAATAGATTTTAGGCGTTTTGGCACCCTCAAATTTCACTATAACCGTCAAATGCGTTAAAAAAATTCATTGAATCGTCGCTATGACAATATATCAATATATATTAACGCGTCTTTTCCGAAACCTTGTCAGTCGAGGTTGTTTTACTGCATTACAACAGTAGAAGAAGATGAATAGTGAACCAGTGCATTGTGATAGCAATTCAAAGAAATATGTCTATAAGCAATAGAATGTACAAGCGTTGACAATTTATACTAATAAATGCCATTTGAAAATATACGAATGTGTCATAAAAAATGAATGCAATGGGGGCAAAGCATTTGATGTCACCGTCACTCCTTTGAAAGAATAAAGAAAAAACCAACAAAGACTTATTCGAAAGACTGGTAAATAAAATTACCAGTGTCGCGCAGTCGTAAGTTTGTTATCATTCAGCAAATAATGCCTCACAGATATATGAGAGCGGTGATATGGTGGAAAGAAATAATAGTAGCTACTTACAAGAGAAGTATTTTTCAGAATATACTGACCATGCATAGATAAATTTTTCTCGTGACAAGTTGCGCACTTGCGGACTGATAAAGTTGGAAAAAACACGAGAATTACGACAATCGAAATAACTATACGCCCTATAAAAACGAGGTGCATCAAACAAAATTTTTCAGTTTTCTGTACAATCCCGATAAATTATTCTGTATTCATTTAACACGTAAGCAACTATTTATGTTTTCGACATAGTCAGTAGGTAGATTCGAATAAAAGTGTCTAAATGGTCTTAATGTTCAAATACACCTAACGTTTTCTATCAAAAAACCCTTGCATATCTTCAAATCTCTCATCTTCGAAATCTATTTTCATGAAACTGTGAACATATGTTACATATTAAAGCTATGGAGTTGTGTTTTTCAATTCTTTATAGTCTTCAAATCTTGCTATTCAAGTGTTTCTTATAAATTAAAGCGTAAAATGAACTTTATACGCCTGTAAATTTGTTCCCTATATGTATATATATTAAACTGCAGATCTAGAGATAGAAATCAAATCAATAACGGTATCGATCATCAAAAATTCGGATCGATTTCATCTTTGATAACCATTCTCTTTTTGGCATCTTTAGTAAGTCAAACCTTTTTGTGTTATCTTTAAAAGAACTCCTTGACTCACTTGACTCAGAATAATTTTTGACTCTCATTGTGTAATTCTTTATGTATAGAGAGAATTACTATAAACATAAAGAACAGATTTGAGTGACAAGAACTACACTGAAATAAAACGACTTTTGTCCTATGATATCTTGTTTTTTGTCGTTTTGCTAGGCATATTTAGAATCGAATCTGATAAGCACTTTATCAGTGCTCATTTTCGCACAGATTACTGCTTCAAAAATGACAACAAACTGCCAACTATGCAATCAACCTATGGAAGAAGGCACAATTGGCAGTCGATGTACTATCTGCAGCAAGATGAATCGTACTGAGACATTTTTAAAGATGCTCACTATCTTACAAGATATTCGAGATACTAAGGAAAAGTTCGATACAATAAAAGACAAATGTAAACAACTCTATCCAATTGTTCAAGAGTATTCCTTAGTCATCGTACCCTATCGAATCTTTACTAATAAAATTTTTGATGTCAATCGTAATGCTTATCGCTATTTACAAAACTACACAGACTGTGAAAGAAACAAAATTCTCCATAACCATCTTCCTGTCAATATAGACCCATCGAATGCGTACGGCTTATACGCGGCTATTGCTCTTCTCTGTGAGCTGGATATCGAGACTGGTGCTAATGAGTTAAGAGTGAGAAATGTGATTGATCTAATTCTCAATATCAATGCATATTCTTCGAATAATTCTGAACTTCATGACTGTGTAAAATGGGAAAATTCATGGCATTGCTACGTACTGAATCTACTTAATAATCAGAGCCCAGTAAGTGTTTCTACAATTAGCTTTGCAAATAATTTTAATTATTTATTTTTCTATTAGATACTTTTAGCGAATACACCAAATGCATGTATGACAATCGTTTTACATAGTCTTGCTACTATCATCAACATGATGATTCGATCTGTGTACCCAGTGGTTCCACTTGTAAACGGATATTTTCAAAAACAACTTAATCGATTATTTTATCCATTGAGCACATCCTTGAATGAGTTTACAATACCAATGATCACGATCTTTTGGTCAAGTACAAAACCTATCTCAGCACATTCTTCGAGCGATACATGGTTACCAAATTGTGTAGTACCCATTTTACCAGATCCTGAGGTGTGTATGTAATAAGCTGACTATTGTAGAGCTTATAAGAATTGTCGAAAAAATTGCATTTTTCTAATATCATACAAAATATCGAAATTTTATGTTTTCAATAGCAAGTTTTAAATGAACGCTCTTTAGCTTATATCTATATAGAATAGCTGTAACTGAGGCGATATGCTACAGAGTTGTATCAGTTACAGTTTTACCGGTCTAGACATGTTATAATAGTCTAATGATGAAGCTAGTAGATAAATGAAAAAGTTACGATAGTGACCGACCTCAATCAGTTGGAATGACTTGAAACATTGGATTCAAAATCTAACAGCAATACAAGATAAAAGATTGAAAAAACCGGTCCCATCTTTATAATTTTGTGCTAGTTAAACTCTTAGTATGTATTGAATGAATTGAGCCTAACCATCAGTGGATCGTTCATCAATTGTGACTATTTACCGTTTCTAATATATGCATGTAACGGTAGACCAACAGTCACATTGGTAAACTCATCATGGGTGTATACTGAGCTCCGTTCTTAATTCAATAACAGTTTTTAACATATCAGGTTCTGAATCGAGCAAAAAGTTGATCGTCATCGCAAGTTTATTATCCATTCAGCGACTATATTAATCGTCTACTAGTGCATGCCTAGACTGGTATACCACTTCACTGACCATCTGTCTATAGTACCTTATTACTATTGAATATTTGTGTTTTCTTGCAGATTTCTCGTCAGACAACAATGACAACGGCGAGTGCGTATGCAGTTGGTTCTCAAAATAAAGCAGGTAGTATTATGAATTAAAATGTTTACATCTATATATTGTCCTGATTTATTTCCTGAAACATAGAACGAAACTTTTACATGCTTCTTCCTTGCACATGTCGGGTAACTCAAAGTATCTTAAATGAGTTGGTATCTGATGCGGATCAGCAGAAGCATACCGAAGCACTCATCGAAGGAAAAGAAGGAAAAGTGCTCAATTTTCGTTGTCCGAAATGTTCTAGAACATGCTATGACTATACCTTCGACAAGGAGAAAGTCTCCCAGTTTCGGACACAATTTACTGGTGCACGCTACACATATATCGTTATTGATAAAACATCATCGATGACATCCATGTTTCCAAACAATACGAAATCGCGGATAGCTCAAACAAAGGAAGCACTAAAAGAGTTGTTAAAACAAATAGCAAACAATTCTGGACCTGAGGATGCAGCTATATTGACCATGTTCGATGATACTCTTATAAAACCTGATTTTATTCCAGAGTGCAAGGCTCGTGATATTGCCACAAACTCGAACATGGACCGTATTGATGCAGTCGAACTCAGTAAAAAACGATTAAGACGCATTTCTATTCTTCTATGAAAGAAATCTATGAGCGGCTGGAAGAAAAACCATTTCAATATATTGATGTCTACGTATTTTCTGATGGTATAGACACAAGTCCTAGAAAAAAAGATCAATCATATCAAGTAATTGCTCGTCGTTTGCACGAAAAGATTGGTGCGAAATGTCATTTCATGAATTGTGGTTCGGCATCAAGTGGGTATTGTGTGGCGCCTTGGTTAGGAGATCCTGATGCCGATTGTCCAATTTCTGGTAATGTTGACGAAATTCGGGCACAAGTCGCATCTAGCTATGGACAACATCATCTGCGTGGGAGTGCACGATCACCTCAAACAAGTGCATTTTCCTCTTCCCTACAAGCCACAATGACGAACGACGAATTAGAATCACTTCGTAAACTAACATCTCAATGTCCATCAGCCACTGCAAATGACTCACTAACGAGCGCTGACAGTGCACAGCTTGATATCATAGAAATTAAGGATAATTGTATACACGACAATACGAATTCCAATCAACATTCAAGCTATGCAGTGCCATCAAATCGAAAAACGAGTGGAATTGCTTTTTCTCCATATTTTGGTGAGGTTAAATAAAGCATGTAGACTTATCACTAAGGATGTTATTTTGTAAAATTTCGAGTCGGATTCGTATGAAAAATTTCGAAAATATCATTAATCTGGAAATAATCTTAAATGATATTATTTTTTGAAATGATTAGTAGAGTGTGGGTATGGAGTGTGAGTGGATTTGACTGTGGCTGTACATTAATAGAACACCGACCCCCATATCTTCACACCCATCCACACCCTAGTGATTGTGATAGTCTTTGAGATAGTTCATTTCGGAAGTGTTAAAGCACAATTGAATTCGTACATGAAAGTTTTTAACCTTGATTTTATTCTGTTTGCTTATGAAATAAACAGTTTTTGTGTGTCTTATTCTGAAAATAATCATCTATAGTAGATGTTGAATACATACATCGGTTAAATGTAGTCAAAGAGTATGACTTCAGTATATACAAAATTATGTTATAATGAACTGTTATTATGAATGTGTTGCTTTAAAACTACTGCTGGTTCACATATAGCCTCGCTTTTCATTCCCTCGACTGAAGGAAGGGTATAATGAAATAAAATAAGTTTGTGGTCGTCGATGCGCAATGGCATGTATGTGTTTAGCCACGTATCTATATGCACTAGTGTAATGAATAAAGTTTGATCGAAGGTAATCGGGGTCGGGAAACCTGAATTCGTAATTATTTTTTCGAAATTTTGAGTTAGTTTTTCTTCAGCATGGAAAGGCTTTTGTACGAAAAATATTAATTTTCCCATTAGATAATTAATTGCTTCTCCACCGTCATAACTCGTAGGCGTCGAAACAGGATCCTCTATCCATAGCTAGTTGCAGAATAGTCGTAGTGTTTTCATTTTTTCTTTGAGAAGTCTTCTGTGATAAATTCAAGCATTTTTAAAAATTAAGACAAACGTCTATTGGTTATATTGTAAATCAAAATGTATGATCCTTTGAAGAAGTAGACCTAAGCAAGTAAGCGGCAAGCCGTTGAGGGTACATAGAGAAATTTTCTATGGGATGGGTCCGATCGATTGAAGCAATTTCCAAGAATGACGGAAAACTGAAAAAGTATTTTGTCTAACCAAATTTGGGAAACAGTTTTTGTGCAGAGGTACAACATCTTAGACGTCCATTTGGTGAAAAGGCAGAATTAGCGTGTTTATATTAAAGTAGTGCTCATGTACATAAGAAAGCACATTTTTCATTGACTAAATGCAAAAAGTGATCACTGAGCAAATCAAGTGTAGGATAGTTTACATATACTGACAGTATCAACTTGCTTGTACGCTCATTATGAAGACAAACACTATAGGAAACAAGAGTTAATAACTGTTTGAATTTTATTTCCCTTCTTATAATATAAATATTGAATCTCTTCTCTACGGTTAAGGTCTGTGTCAGAGCTACAATAGTATAGCAAACAACTCTTTACCTGGAATGAAAATCACAAAATTTACAACAGTACTGCAGTGCTGTGAACCACGTAAATACTGATTTTTTATGAAGAAAGAGGTAGCTCAGTAGTATTCATTTACTAAGTAGTGAAATGCTTTGTACGACTCCAATGGAAAGATACACCTGAGTTCTTGGCTCGCAATCGGTTACTTAGCTTAGTGGATTATTATTTTGTGTGATCAATGTTTAACATCCTCTGCATTCTCTTGAGCCATGGGTGTGGGTGTGTGTGGGTGTGTGGGTGTGTGAGTGTAGGTGTGGGTGTTGGTTTTCTGTCAAACTACACGTGCACTCACACCCACAGCCACACGCTCACCTCCAAATTCACTCACACTCACGCCCACACCTACCTACACCCACACCGTCATCTACAATATTGACTACTGAATTTTATAATCCAAACGACCTGGGCATATCTTCCAACGGATTTACAAAATAAACGATTGCTACTATAAGTAAAAAACAGGGATCTTTATCTAACAAGCTCTTATGACAAGTATCAAATGTTCATTGAATGTTATTTATCTTTTTTTTTCTTGCTATATATATAATACAATAATTTAAGTCGTTCTCCACTAAAGTCATCCAAAGGAAAAGGTAGACCTTCACGCAAATGTTGTAATGCTTGTTCAGTCTGACCCAAGTCACCAAGTACTCTTGCTATATTTCGTTCTGTGCGAGCAGTTTCTATATGTTCTGAAGGTAGACGTTTTCTCTGTATGATAAGACATTGACAAAAATAGCCGAGAGCCAGATTCAGATCACCTCTTTCATAATGATATGTTGCCATATAACGTGAAAGTGTAGCTATCTCTAAAGGATTCATTGGTAGATATTGGCGTAGTATCGTAAGTGATTGTTGACCATATTTTATCGCTCCTTTAATATCTTTCATGAAGTAACTAATTTTACTAATTTCAGCTAAAGTTAGAGCAATTTCAACATGATCAACAGGTAAACATGCTTGTTGCATATCCAGTGCACGCTTCTGATAGTAGAAGCTCTGAGCTAAGAGATAAGGATTAGCATTGCCTTCATATAAGCCAAATTCCGATAGGCCAAAGTTGCTTTGACCTATACTAAATAGACAACTAGCTATATCGCGATGATTTGATGATAAACCATAATATTGCTCAAAAATGTTCAGTGCTTTTTTGCAATATTCGAGCGCTTTCGAAAATTCTTCCTTTTGATTCAGTACAATGCCTATGTATTGCCAAACATATGCCAACTGTTTTAGTCCAGCTTGATCAGTTCGGTTTCGCAACATATCATGAGCGATTTCAAACTGTTCGAGAGCAGCATCGTATTCATCATTATTGTCATATGCGTCGCCCAAGTGAAAATGTATTCGAGCTATATTTATATTCTCATCAGGATCTCGAACTAAGTTCTGAAAATAACGGATGCATTTCTCATATTGACCCATTTTATTTAGTAGAGCACCGAAAATAATTGGTGAACTTTCATCTTCCACATCCTCGCGGCATTATTTTATGAAATCAATGACCATAGTTTGTTGTTCATTAGTTGGTATCATCTTTACTACCCAAATCTGTGAATATTTTTCATTTCCTTGTGTAACGGATAGTATTCGAAAAGTAATGCCTAGATCAAACAAAACTTCTTCTTCATCAGGTACATCGCTGTAATAGGAAACATCAGCACAGATAATATTTGTTTCAATATTGCATTCAACTTCGAATAGAACTCCTACTGTTGTCGACGTATTCGAGCCAACATAAATTTGAGCTACTGTTCGTGAACGACTAGTGGAGAAATAGCTATTAGTTGATATAAGATTACCCTTGTTTTCTTTGAGTTTCTCAAATTCTGCTTGAGATATTGTTGCTCCACGACAAAGGACAATAGAATTTCTTGAGAGAAAATTTTTGGATTCTCGGTTGAGACTTGTAGATAGATCGGTAATATAATAGCGAAATACATATAATTGTTCAACATCTTGTGTTCTCAATGCTTTATTAATGAGCTTATAAACAAAAGTATCTTTCGTGTACCAACGAATACAATCATCGATATGATACGTTCGTTCAAATTCGTCGATTTTGGCGAGTACTGTTCGATTACCTCGATAGTAGTCCCGACAAGCATCAACCATTTCTTGTTTAGCATTTTGATCGTGTGGCAAGTAGTGAATCATATAATTGAAGAGCTGTACCCTTTTTAACAGATAAACGACCGAAATTTAGCTACCTTCTTTTTATAACATTGATCGAACTTACCAAAGAAATTCAGCTTGATGTTCAGTAACATTAAGTACTGAAATTTGGTTTTTATCCAAATAAGTGAATAAATCCAAGTGTTTGCGAAGCTTTTTGGTTGTTGTCATGATAGCTTTTTCAAGATTTGTCCACTCATTGAAAGAACCCACGACTTTGGATGTGGTGGTACTATATGCATGCGAACCTGGATCTGTAACATTATCGGTATTATGAAAAATAAAGACTGAATTCAACTGAACAAGATCAATGAGTGTAGGCAGGGTTGTAGAAGCAATTGCATGTGATGTAATAAGCAAAACTTTTTCTGTATTGACTGATTGTACATAGGCATAGCATACGTCTAAATTGTGATAGATCAAAGAAAAATCATTAATAGTACGAAGACGCTCTATCAATTCTCCGTCTTTATCCTCGTCATCCGCTTGTAAATCAAGCCAGATGAGAGTGGTACTTTCTTTATTACTGCGTCGAGGGCGATGATCATCAGGATAATGTGCAAGATATGGAGCCCACGAATCCAAAGCAAATAGTCGTGTCATTGGTAGAGTGATACTGTAGTTGTTTGCATCAGGTAATGAAGATGTTAATGGTTCGGTTGGTTTACGACTGAGCAATGGAATTTTTTTGCCAATACATATGAGTGGAATACTTTGGTAATGATTCCACATTGATGCTTTGCCTTTCCATTTAAATGTTAACATAACAAATCTACTAAAATACAATCCTGAGTCAATAGTTGTTCTCTGCTGATTGCAAAAGAAAAAGTAACGAACAGCCACATCAGATTATTCAAAGCAATATCATTCTGCAGTATTTGTTGACGAAAAGAGATGACTAATAAAAAAAGAAAACTTCTTTCCTTATCACAATTTCGATGTATGCCATATTTCGTGATGTGTCTTTTTTTGCAAAGAAAAATAATATCTTTTTTAAAATGACAAGGCGCAAGATGAGGCATGATGAAATTACATTTATTTTTTTTCGTCATTGAAAGATGTTCTTCGTGACTGTTCTGAATTGTCCTCAATGTAGAAAAATCTTTGTTATGAAAACTTCTCAACAGATTTCAATTTCTGATTCGATCCTGCTTTTTTTGCATGAGCATATTGAATTCATATTTAATTCTAATCCAAAACAAAGCTAATGACTCTCGTCAATAAGCTAGTATCTGAGCTGTGATATTCATTGGCATCGGTATGGTTGTTGTGTGACCCTAATTAGCACTCAAGCGACACAGTTTCATCGATTCGACGTTTGCTTGAATCCGAACATTCTGAGTTCATGTGCTCTCAGCCTATATTGTTTAGAATAATATTCATAGAAATTTGAAAATCTTTGTTTTATTGTGAATAAAAAAAAACATTAAATTATAAACCTTTTTTTAAAGATTTGTTACATTTTTCTTACAACAAAGATGGAAAACGAACGAATAAAAAATTTTAAAAATATCAATAATTTTGATATTTTGTAATCCTTATTACTCTGATCTCCAAATACGAATATTCCATCCCAACTTGCTTTCTTTCACTAACATATATTTAAGAGCAGTATAAGTTAAAGCACATTGGAATTCACCGAATTTACCAATTGCTACGGTCCAAGTATCTCCATAAGTTGTATAAAGCCAATTTCGAACATCGTTAGCGATTTCTCACTTGTTTGATTCTCCATGTAGATCAATTGCAGTACTTATTGTGCTCAATATATTTATTTTCATGATGTCAGTAATTCCACTTTCTTGTCTTACGATTTCCCATCTCTCCATAGTGACTTATATTGAAGATGTAGCTAGAACAAGAGTTTTCCTTAGTGAAACAACCAATTAGACACACGAAAATGATTAAATTTGTCTGCTGAGTTATTTATGAGCAAAATATACTCGATTAATGAAAGCAGAGACGATGTTGAAAACATATGATGTGGAGGCCAGGACAATGCATTGTTCATATATATTTTTTGAAATTGATTTCAACCAAAAGCCTTCGGTAGTGAAGAATTCGAATTTGAGTAATGTTTCGGCTCTATCT